TTTAATTAAAACTGCACCCTAGTTCAAAGCACTCTGAAGGTTCTTGATGCCGAGCCAGTGGGGTTGACTAAATATCTAATTTCCTGCTGCGGGGCAGAGACGAGGAAGGGTCGAGTGTAATTAGCCGATATGAGGAAGAGGAGGCTGCAGGTGTGTTGAGAGTCTGGAGGTTTGGGATCAGTATTGAGAGTCCGTCCCTGATCTGCTTTCTCATTTGGAGGGTGTTTATTAAAATCGCCTGCAACCGCTGATCTCTGGACAGTTTAATTGGAGCTTCTTGTAGTTGTTAAATAAAAATCACAAACGAGATCTCTTTAATATCTCATTGTTTCTCCTAAAAACCAAGGAGATTAATAGGAGAGCAAACAGACTCCAGTGAAGCCTCGTGCACACGGGACGATTATCGCGCGCGCTTATCGCTGACGTTTTTTGTCGCGTCTTTTGTGTTCATACCCAAGCGATTTTCGCTGGCGATGATCCGAGTGAACATGCAAATTCACTCCCTGACATTAGATGGCGCTTAATGAAAAACAGAAAAACCCCGGTACACATCGAATCCTATTTGATCTGCAATTCCTCTCCATAACAACTCCCTCTTATCGAGATTTTTGTAGTCGCTGTCGTGTTTGTCATAAAGCCCTTTGTGTTCAGACACCAATGAGACCAGCAGCTCTACATTCATCTTGCCTCGATGCATCTTCTTGGTCTATTTACTTCCTCTTCGTCGTTAGGTATCTATGTGTGCTCGGCAAGACCGTTTTGTGCTTGAGCGCAATCGAGTCGTGTTTTACTGTAACTTCAGCAGCTCCAGGCATGTGAACAAAAGCGGCAATCTCATTGGTCGGACAGTTTTCAAACCAAAAAAACGAGCCCAAGGCGTTTTTTAAAAAATGACGCTTTTACGCCTCGTGTTTTGCACGTCGGTGTGCACACTCACATTGGCGCCCTTTGTTTAGTCACGAGGCGTTAAACGTCGGCGATAATCGTCCCGGTGTGCACAAGCCTTAATACATGTATTGAAATATCTCACTAGCAAAGATCTTGCAAGTCAGACATTTTAATATTAAAGTTGGCATGAAATGAAAAATTAAGCCTATTTTTTAAATGCATGTCATTGATCTTATTGTGAACAGATTATCTGTGCATATGTTTATTTCTTTTCTTTTCTTCCTTGTAATTCTTAAAATTCTTAATCACAACGTCATAACTCAATATTACGGTAAAATGACAGACTTAATTTTTGTATTTTTTTTGTGATAATGCATTAACTCACATGTGTCTCACATCTTAACTTTAACTCAAATTCTCCCATAACCCCCACCTTCATTTTATAGCTTTTAAAATCTGACTGTTTTGTGAAGAACTGCCTTATTTTTTAAAAGTCTTTAAAATGTTAGTTAAGCATAATTAACCCCCCATTACCTTAAAAAGTAACTCATTACTCAAACACAGTAACTAATTACTGTGAATAAGTATTATATTATATTATATTATATACAAGTATTTTTAAACAATTTTTATCATTAGACTTTTATTATTTTTGTACTGCATTTTTTATGTTTTTTTTTAAACCTTAATTTTGCAAATGATTCTGTTACAATGATGAGGATCTTATGAGAAGCACCATTGGGAATAATGAGAATTACAAAGAAACTTAAAACATTCCAGAGGCATTACAGTAATGGGAATTTTAGGCTAAATTGTGCTTAATTGTCATGGAAATAATGACACAATATTAATGGTCCTAAATCAGGCTTCATTTTCTTTAGGCAAAATATACTTATTTCTTTCTTTTTTTGGAGTGGTGAAATATGACCTCTTCTTGACAGGTTTCACCCATTAAATTGTACAACAAGTTAAGTGCCAAGAATATTGACTTACTCATATGAAGACTGACCTGTGACCCTCACGTGTGTGACCTCTAGAGTAACCCCTGTGGATGTCAGCTGTTAGATACTGTGGATCATCTCATATTGACAGAGGATATCAGATGTCGGCTGCCTCGGGCTTTGCTATGTTATATTTATTTATTTAGTCTTTTATTAGATGTATATTTTATGATGTTATATTCACCTCATATAGGCTAAATTCAGCCACAAATCTTTCTGGCTAATGTGATGTTCAAATAATTAGAATGTCTTATTCACCAGGACCTGTAGGTACCTGAAATGTAACTGTTCACATTAGCTGAAAATGCAACATCCATTTTTGAATACTAGTCAAGTCATCTGTGCTATTCCATCATTATGAACTTATAGTAAACAAATCAAATTATTCAATCCTCATCAGATTTATTAGTGCTTTCTTAATATTCTTAATGCACATGTAAAAGTCATTGACTCAATGTCGTTCGCTTATATATCTGTACTTTCACGCATATTCATCGAGAGTGAGCTGAATTATGAAAGAGATTCAGAGATGTTCCTGTGGGTAGAGAACAGGTGCATTGTGGTTCCGTGCCCTCAGACCAACCAGGTGAAGAGAAAGCTCATGTTTATAAGATCACTGGTTTTACGCTGTACTCTCGCACATTATGCAAATAATCCTGCAGTCCTAGCAGTAATGACACGATGGAAAAGCATGCATTACAGAATAACGGACACACTCGCTCACGCACCATTCCTCGCTGACTCTGTCCATGTAGACACTGGGAGTGCGTGTGAGAACAGCTACTGTTGACACTGATTTATAAGTGATCTAATCAGAAAAATGAGAGAAAACCTGAAAAAAGGTCTTTGCAGGCTCGCAGTGCTTTCTGGGCTGTTCACATGTGCTCATTATATCCAAATGTGCTGCTCACATTCATGTGATGCTCCATTTCAGGCAATATGAAGAGTGCTAAATAATTCACAAGATGCTGGGATATATATATATATATAATAAATCAGAGTTTTGAGTTAAAATGGATTCAGACCGGTTTGAAAAGACATGAGGGTGAGTAAATGACAATATTCATTTTTAAATCTGTTCAGAATTTTGGGGAGATGCTGGGATCAAACGTCTGCCTCTGTTTGTGCTCTTCTGAACGTAGAAGGGTGTGTGTTGGTGTTGGTGGGTTAAAGTTTGGGGTTCTCTGGTACCAACCTTTTGGCGACATTCAGTATGTATATCGATATATTTATTCTAAAACAAAGTTTTTTTTTTTATCAGAGGAACCAGATTTGACCAAGTAACCATTAGTTTAGAAATGTTTCATTCATTATTAAACATCTATTTATTAAAAAAAATTTTTTTTGAAAAATTTCACACATTTTTCTGAAGAATTTACTTTTTTTTTAAAATATATA